GTTTATATCTCAATATATAGTTGCAAACTTTTCGGTAATTGTACTTTTGCGATTGTGCTTTATCATATTTTACATTATACTTTAAATATTGAAAACTTTCAACTATTAATTTATTATTAATCTATTTTTTATATATTGTTAAATGGTGTCCTTTGATTACTCTTTCAATTCTTTGTCATTATTGTCAATTCTAGAAATGAGACTTTCCCAGTTAAAGTCTTCTTCGCCATTATGTAAACTTATCACATTCTTCTCATCAATGACATCAAACAGATTTTTAAATGGCGTATATCTCATCAAAGTGATTTTATCAGTGATTATAATCAGCTTATGTCTCGCGCGAGTGATAGCTACCGTCAAACGTCGCTGGTCATCCAATATCTCGAATTCTTTCTTCGTGTCGTATTCCATGCTCTTTGTACATGAATACAATATAACATCTTTATCGCGTCCCTGATACTGATCCACAGTGTTCACTTCCACTTCCCTGTCTATAATCTTTTTCAGTAAATTTATTTGAGCGTTATAAGGTGCAATGACTCCTATATTTCTACTGCTCACACCTGCTTTAGTAAGCACTTGAACGAGGCGCAGGATAATAGCTGCTTCCCAGACATTTGAACATACCTGGGCATTTCTGTTGCCAGATTCTACCTTCAAGTTGTAAGTGCTACCAGTATCGAGCACCACCACTGAGTCATCTAAATTTCTGGAAAGTGTGCTTCTTATCCACTTTTCACAAGACGAAAGATATTGCTCCATGTTGACGCCGGTTAAAGTCGCATTTTCCACCTGTTTGTTGCCCGATATCAACTGGCCACGGTATGTCGCGTCGTTGGCCAATCTCATGATTCTCCCGTTCATTCTATACTGTTTCGACAGATTAACGGTATTGTTGTCGCTATCGAGCCTGATGAATAGGGACTCGTCCCCGCCAAGCCTCGCGGCCGTTTTGTTCCTGACAACAGGCGGCAGCTGATCCGGATCCCCGACGAGGATAAACTTGCGTGTGCTATACAATGGACGCAGCACCGTGGGCTGCATGATCTGCGCGCTCTCGTCCACCACGCATACGTCGAAAGTGCGTCTCCTAAGAAGAGCGTGATACGCGCCATAACAGGTCACGCCAATGATCTGTTTGCTATTGTAAAGTATCTCTAAATTCTCCGGCGAGTCACAACTCGCCAATGCGTATTCCTCGCTCTTGCATGTCAATAACGGATGTATCTGCTTCGTCGAGCCCAGACGCAGAAAATCAATGTTACGTTCCAGCAACTTTAACAGGACGTTATCCACCGCGCTGTGCGTATGCGCGGTGATCAAAACGCTGGATCCCAATGCTTGCAGCAGCTCTATCAATGCTACCAGTGTTTGTGTCTTCCCTGTGCCCGGCATGCCCTTTATCAGAACGTATTCGTTGGCGGCTAATGCCTTCAGCACAGCCCTCTGTTGATTCTCGTTAAGGTCGCTTATTATTTTGACGCTAGCTGATACGACTGAGCGAGGCAACTTCTCTGCAAACGTGGCCGGTGTCCTGTCGATGATGATGCGCCGAAGTCTGACGCTGGTCTCGTCATTGCTCAACAGACCAGCTACATTCGCATAATTGAAAGTGGATAAACCCATGGAAGAGTATTTATCGATATGGAACGTAGAATGAGCGTTTTGTCGCGTAACATCCTTATCTAATAAGACTGCGACAGTATCATGCGAAACATGCATTATATATCCGGCAGCTATATTAATTCGTGCGTCCGTACTGATGATAATATAATCATTCTCGGTAAATGCGCTGTTGAATGTGCCATTCTCGATGGTCTCACCCTTGATATTAACACGTGCAAACTTATGCCGATATCTATCTTGCTCCACCACCACTTTGCCTACAACCTTCAAGTTACAGATGCATGTTCCTCTCGCCTCTCTCTTTTCCGGATTCATCGTCCATATGTTGCTTAAATTGTTGTTATTATTCTCGTAAGTTTCCTCCAGTTGCAGTAATGCGATCCACTTCATAACATAATTCAAGTGACTAGATTCAAAATCTTCCAGAAGTTTCTTCATCGGCGCCGTTAGGGAATGCGATGGCGACAAATTAGTATTTAGGTCCCTCGTCAAATACGCGCAACATAGAGTTTGATAGGGACATCTGCTGCATGCACTATGGTTTATAGGCTCTGGCAATTCCATCGCCTTTAAATCCGATTCCGAACTTATGCTATGAAAGTCTTCAGACTTTTTGGAGAAATAATGCACCAAGGTATTCCGCAGCAATATCAAATCTCTTTTCTCGTGATGACTGCTTTTAATTTCCTGCATCGCGTTTTCTTTCAAATACAATAGAAGACCAGTATCGATATTCTGATCTCTGAAGCCCATCATCATGAGATAGAGAATAACTTGGCCCTTATGCTCAGGCGAGTAAGAAGCTTTTCCGGTTTTCACTTCCAAAGGCATGATTTTTCTTTTCGAATTAATATTCACCTCCGCCGTCACGTCTATTCTTCCCTTTATACCTAATTTCGGTATGTAAATGTTCTCCTCGATGTCTTGTATATTACAAATATTCCCCTGAAAGTTATTCTTTAAGTCGCTTATACGTTGTTGCTTGTTGCCCTTGATATAATGCTGAATAAACTCGAAAATTCTCGGCGCGTACTCCATCATGCGTTTCCGACAATCTGCGAGCGACAGTTCCGACGTGTAGAGATAGTCTATCGTGCTTTTCGATTGTAACATATCGTCAAGCAACTTGATCACGTCGGACAGCGCGTAGATATTTTCCCATAGAGCTTTTTGTAGCCACTGATGAACTAAAGATCCTATGGTCATTACAGAATAATCAGCATTCAAACTTGGCAACGACTCTATCTTTCTAAACTTATCGGTCAATATTGCTCGTCTATTGCAAAATAAACCACTCGTTATTGTTGTGCCTGATATTAATATATCAGGCTGCGTGATGAGAAAACCATTATTATTATCAATAATCCATTGCTGCAAATCTTTTTTAGCCTGTATCGTGACAATATCATCAATTTTCACTTGCACATCTTTCCAAAATCCTGAACATGCAACAGTATCGGTATTTTCAGATTCTATGTGCTGTAGTGTTAGAATGGTAATTCTCGGTTCATGTTTGATATCAATTATTTTACATCTTTGCAAAGTAGTGAGATTAATCTGTACATGACATTGCTGATCAAAGAAACTATCATCAAATTCATCTCCATCTATCATAGAGAAGTACTGAAAAGATTCCATTTTCTTTAAATTAATTTCTTTACAGGTAGACATTTCGGCCAATAAAGGCGACTTTAAAGTAGTAGTATTTAGATCTTGTGACTCTTTAAGAATATAATCATTATTATCCATGACTTTTGAAGTATTTGTATTTCTAGCATTTACAGAATTCTGCGATGTATTTATCTTCATTTTGGTTTTCACTATACTTACTTTTTTATTAACTTTTTCAAACGGTACATTATCACAAACTACTTCATTCTCTAAAAAATTATCATATGTGTCTTCTAAATCTTTTGTTACAGATAATAATACTGAATCTTCATGCGATGTAATGTTGTCCGTCTTTACAACACAATGTTCCTTCAATATATTGTTACTTGCATTACATGTTTTCTTAATACTTATACATGATCCTTCATCAAATGAGTCACCTTTTTCTTTTCTTTTCTGTGCAATTGAGACTTGAGATGAGTTTGAATTTGATACAATCTCATTGTTGCTTATGTCAAGCTTTGGAATTTTTGTAAAAAATGATGATATTTTTGTCTGAGATTTTTCAACATTATTATAAGCAGGTATCTGTAAAAGAAGATAAATTTTAGTAATATTTTATGATAAACTTTTTAATGCATTTTTCATATGAAATGTGCTGATATATCTAAATTCTTTACTGTCAAAATTACTAAATCTATACTAGAATTTAAATGTAAAAATAAACTATTATCTTATAATCTATTATATTAATCTATTTATCATACAAAAAACGATATAACATTAATGATCGCTATAATAACAATATAGACATGTAGTATAACAAACATTTATAAATATTAATTACCTTTCTCTGTGACAATTGACGTTTCTTCATGTTTACATGCAATATGTATATTTAAAGTAATTTTATATTGCATTACATATCATATATGATTAATCCTGTCTCAAACTAAAAATTATGATAGAATTATCATTCCCGCGCAAATATCTCGTTCGAGTGTCGCCATTTTAATAAACACAGGTAATATAAGAAAATAGATAACTAATTCCCGTATTTTGTTTTGGAATAGTGTTTTAAGCGCCACCTAGGCGAATATTCAATATGGCCGTTTTCTAATAGAGAGTGTTTATAAAGCCGGTATCAGACTATGCATTGAGATTGAAATTTGACCAATCAGGACAAGGAAATATTAGTTCCTTTTATCCTGATTGGTCAAATTTCAATCTTCAATACGTAGTCTGATACGGGCTTAATAATGCGCATAGAAGCATAGAAATTTGTTCCGTTTCTTTTCATGCGCACTTGTTATAGAGACATTATAATCAGAGACTGGCCACGAAAAGGCCACTTTTGATTGGTCCGCCATTTTTCGTCTATTTTCGCTGATTTTTAAATCTATTAATTACATTAATCTTAAAGTAAACCGGATAATTATTAATTAAATATGTAATCAAAATTTTTATTCTTAGATTTGTTAAAAATTATTTGATTTATGTTGTGCTTGATGTCATTTTAATCGCAAAAATCTCATTAATCCATTAAAATTATTTTCAAATCGATAAAATATAAGAATCTTTCTTAAAGCAAAAATCAAAGTGACAGATATCTAAATTATAAATTATCGTTTTGTTGCGATCCATACAAACAATAACTATTTTTCTATCAATACTTAAAGTAAAGATATTTTGTCTCATGCTTTATCGTACGACTTTTTGATTATTTCAATATAATTTGGATTGAGAACGCGCAATTAAACAATCGAACCACAGGATCAAATGATTAACATAACGATAAGCTCTGTGATATATTAATTGTTTATTAAATAATTGATCTATAATTTAAAATATTTGTATATAATTTAATATTCCGCTTGTATACATATACGTCATAGTACGCAAAATATTTTCGGCTGCGAATTATCAATAACATGGTATTCGGCCTTAGCGGCGTAAACATTAGCACGCTATTGTTTACGTGTTACGACTTACGGCTTTATTATTCGCACGGTGACACTCGAAACTCGAAGTAATATAGTAGTGCGAGACGCTCCGTCAAATTCCTTTTGTAAATGTGATTGCGACAAGTATCGGGAAATAATCTGATATAATTAATAATTAATTCTCTCTCTTTCTTTTATTCTCTAGATAACAATTATTTAACAATACTTAAAATTAAATATATTTTGTCCGATATTTTTTCGTTCGACTTTTCGATGATCTAAATACAATTCGGACTGAGAACGCACAATAAAACAATCTAATCGCAGATCCGAGTAATTAACATAACGATAAGCTCCGTGATATATTAATCGTTTATTAAATAATAGATCTATAATTTAAAATACTTGTATAATTTAATATTTCGCTTGTATATACGTTATAGCACGAAAAAATTTCGGCAGCAGAATATCAATAACATAATATTTGGCTTCGGCGGCGTAAACATTAGCGCGCTATTGTTAATGTGTTACGATTTATGGTCTTATCATTCGCACGGTGACACTCGAACAATAAGGTAGTAGAGCGCGAGATGCTCCGTCGAATTAGAAACGCGATCGTGACAAGTATCGGGAAATAATTTGATATGATAAATCATTAATTATCTTTTATATACATTAAATAATACGTAACTATATCGCGATGATAGATCTTGAAGCTCGTATTTTGCGTGACATGTTCATTTTATCAACTAATTATAAGAATCGAAGTGATAGTAATCAAAACCATAAATTACTATTTTATTGCGATCTTTATGAGCAATAATTAATTTTCTATCAATATTTAAAGTTAAAAATATTTCGTCCATTGCTTTATCGTTCGACTTTTCAACGATTAAAATATGATTTGTATTGAGAACACGCAATAAAATAATCGAATCGCAAAATCGACTAGTTAGCATAACGAAAGGCTCCGTGATACATATCACTCGTTTAATAAATAATTCGTTTATAATTTAAAATACTTGTATAATTTAATATTTCACGTATATATATATTATAGTATACGTAAAATATTTCGGCAATTCAGAATTATGAATAGAATGGGGAATTGGAATTCGGCCTTTGCGGCATATAACGCGCTATTGGCCGCGTTCAGCAGAGAAAGCGCTCAGTTATCGTCTTGTCAACACTCGACGTTGATTTGTTGGTTCTAAAAGTAAGAACCAATCACATTCGATTGCTACTAAGCGGTTTTCTCTGCTAAACGCGGCCATTGTTTACGTTTTTTTGTTTATTCGTTACGTATTGTTATTATTCGCATGGCAACTCTTGAATAGTATTATAATAGTGGGAGACGCTCCGTTAAATATTCCTTTCTTACTTATTATCATTCGCATAGCGACAATTGAATTATAATTTAAAATACTTGTATAATTTAATATTTCGCGTATATATATATTATAGTATACGTAAAATATTTCGGCAATTCAGAATTATGAATAGAATGGGGAATTGGAATTCGGCCTTTGCGGCATATAACGCGCTATTGTTTACGTTTTTTTTGTTTATTCGTTACGTATTGTTATTATTCGCATGGCAACTCTTGAATAGTATTATAATAGTGGGAGACGCTCCGTTAAATATTCCTTTCTTACTTATTATCATTCGCATAGCGACAATTGAAAAATAAAGTAGTGATAGGAAACGCTTCGTTTATTATTGAATTCTATTCCTAAATACGATCGTGATTACTATCGGAACATAATTCGATATGATAATTACAATTAACAATTAATTAACTTTTGATAAATGACACGAAACTGTACTGCGACGATCAATCTTAACGCGATCATTCATTTACAAGTAAAAATCGAAGCGACAGAATAAAAATTATAAATTTTGTTACGATTATTCTTTGATTATCGATCCTTACTTTAGCTTAATGCTCTGATTGTGAATTAAATATATTCCAATAATTCAAATTGTTCTAAAATGCAAGCATAAATTAATTATTAATTAAACGATTGCTATATAACGATTTTTTATTACTTTAATCTTTCGATTTACGATTCATATTATTGTGCGTATACTATATCTACATATAATATAACAACAGAGATAGAATTGCT